ACGACCATCCAACTTATTTTTACATTTTCACTAATTTTAAAAGGGATAAAACGGTAACTTTGAACAAAAAAAAACTTATTTAAAAAACGTTACTTAAAAAACTAAAAGAAAATAAAATAAAATAACAGAAAATGTCATTTTAAAAACAATGTTCCTTAAAAAGTAAAATAAAATAAAAACTTATCTAAAAAAGGCTTTTAAAATAAAATAAAAACTTTTATTAAAAAAAGTTACTTAGAAAAATAAAACAAAATAAAAACTTATTTTAAAAAATTAAAATTTTAAAAAAACATTTATTTTTTAAATTTATTTATATATAATGCAAAATTACCATTTTATCTGTTTTAAAATCAGTGAAAATAATGAAAAGAAGTTGCATGATCTTGGTGGAACGTTATATGAAATTGGATGATTATGGTGAAATAAAATCAAATTGGATGGTCCTGGTGATATTGAGCCCTTTTTGAGATTCATTATTGTCAAAAATGCATTTATGAATAGTATGTTGAGGGGAAATGTGTGGTTAAAAATAAAGAAAAATTTTGAATTTACGTATAATATTTTTTTTAATGAAAAATGTGATTAAAATAGGGTCAAATCACCGTTGAAAAATGTATTTTGATGAAACAATGCGACTTAAATAAGGATTAAATATAAAGTTGGGTGATCACGATAAAACAAAATCAAATCAAATAGTCATGGCGACGCAAAATAAAAAGTTGGATGGCCATTGCCCATTGGTGACTTTAACATTTTATTTTTTTATTTTTCTGAAACGAAACATATTACAAAAGAATGTGATTCCTTCTAGATTGCCATTTCAAGTGGCCGAAGAACTGGAGATAACGGAGCATGAACTCCCTCCTGCAAATCACCTAAACACTTGCACTTTTGCGTCGACACGAGCTCTGAGTCTTTCTCTGAGATCCCGAGCAACCCTAATTTCTAAGTAAAGTTGATTTCGTCTCAATCTTTTGTTAATTTATCGCTCGAGTATTCTTACTATAAAGCTTTTGGAAGCATTTCAGCATGATATAAGATTTTAGAACTTTGCTATATGTACACTATTTTTGACATTTTGGTTGACATTTACATTGTTGTAAGTGTCAATTGGATGAAAAAATTGTTTAAAATTTAAATTATTCAATAAGGTGATGCCACGTAACAAAGTATAAATTAAAATGTACACCATAATATACATGTAGCAATGTTCGCCATTAATCTTCATGTTCTTTTTCTCACATTCAATAATTTACATAACTAAAATGTGATAATGGAAATAATAGCATATAATAAAAGGTCTGAGCACGAAGCATCAATGGCAATTTACAGAAGAAGAGGGCCCCTTGTCCTTGTTTGAGTAATGACATAGGACATTCGCAACCTCTTCGAAATCAATTTTACTACATGCTGATACATTGGTGATGGGTTGTAAGAAAAGGCATGGGTTGCATTCTAGTATTGAATGCTAATCTAGACTTAGCCTAACATTTTGCTGCTAATGTGTTTCCTGCATTGATCAAACCTTCTTGGTGATCCTTCTATTACTTTCATTTTATGTTCATTTCTGTAATTGATTTTTGTAGAGTATTTGCAATAATCTAATCCTTGTACTTCAACTGCTCTTGTGTAATTTGGTTCATTTTAATTCTTCTTCTGCTTAACATATATATTAAAATAAATTGTTTATACATTTGAAGTTTTTCCAATAACTAAATTCGATGCAACTGAAGTGAAGAGTGATGAATATATTCAACGTGAATATATCTAAATCAACCAATATTCATCTATGTCCTAAACTAAATACGAGTAAGCTATAGTACAAAGCCTACCATTTACAAATGCATTATGGCATGTGTTATACAATATTTTACAAGACTTGATGTTACCTGTGGCATCAAAGTTCTTAGTAGAAATGTTATTTGGCTAGACAACAATCGAATCTTTAATAATTTTTTTTTTTCCAAATAGAACTTTAATCATTTGATTGTAAAATTGTAAATTGACCCTTAAATTATTCAAGAATATAACGCGTGCAACCTTTACTAGATTACAAATGGTCACTTTTCTTTTAAAATATCATGATTAAGTCTCCAATTACTTCACCTTCTTCAAATAACTAATATTATCACCGACAAATTTAATCTCCAATCCACAGTGGACAGAACTTATAATGCTCAATGTGAGCAGGAGATTAAACCTGTTTATCACTAATAAAAAATTTGTTCATCATTTATCTGACCAACCTTATTTTCTAAAATTTCTACTTATAGCCCTCGTCAATCCAATAATTGGAAAAATTCCAACTTGAACCTTAAGTTTTCGAACTTTGCATTTAAGCTACACTGACATAATGATCGCGTATTTACAATGTCTAGAAAATAAAATACATTTTTTTTGGTTAAATTCATCAATAGCCACCCAACATTATATTTAATATCACCATGGTCACCCAAATTGATTTTATTTAATCAGGACCACCCAATTTTATATAATATTTCACTACGACCATCCAACTTATTTTTACATTTTCACTAATTTTAAAAGGGATAAAACGGTAACTTTGAACAAAAAAAAACTTATTTAAAAAACGTTACTTAAAAAACTAAAAGAAAATAAAATAAAATAACAGAAAATGTCATTTTAAAAACAATGTTCCTTAAAAAGTAAAATAAAATAAAAACTTATCTAAAAAAGGCTTTTAAAATAAAATAAAAACTTTTATTAAAAAAAGTTACTTAGAAAAATAAAACAAAATAAAAACTTATTTTAAAAAATTAAAATTTTAAAAAAACATTTATTTTTTAAATTTATTTATATATAATGCAAAATTACCATTTTATCTGTTTTAAAATCAGTGAAAATAATGAAAAGAAGTTGCATGATCTTGGTGGAACGTTATATGAAATTGGATGATTATGGTGAAATAAAATCAAATTGGATGGTCCTGGTGATATTGAGCCCTTTTTGAGATTCATTATTGTCAAAAATGCATTTATGAATAGTATGTTGAGGGGAAATGTGTGGTTAAAAATAAAGAAAAATTTTGAATTTACGTATAATATTTTTTTTAATGAAAAATGTGATTAAAATAGGGTCAAATCACCGTTGAAAAATGTATTTTGATGAAACAATGCGACTTAAATAAGGATTAAATATAAAGTTGGGTGATCACGATAAAACAAAATCAAATCAAATAGTCATGGCGACGCAAAATAAAAAGTTGGATGGCCATTGCCCATTGGTGACTTTAACATTTTATTTTTTTATTTTTCTGAAACGAAACATATTACAAAAGAATGTGATTCCTTCTAGATTGCCATTTCAAGTGGCCGAAGAACTGGAGATAACGGAGCATGAACTCCCTCCTGCAAATGACCTAAACACTTGCACTTTTGCGTCGACACGAGCTCTGAGTCTTTCTCTGAGATCCCGAGCAACCCTAATTTCTAAGTAAAGTTGATTTCGTCTCAATCTTTTGTTAATTTATCGCTCGAGTATTCTTACTATAAAGCTTTTGGAAGCATTTCAGCATGATATAAGATTTTAGAACTTTGCTATATGTACACTATTTTTGACATTTTGGTTGACATTTACATTGTTGTAAGTGTCAATTGGATGAAAAAATTGTTTAAAATTTAAATTATTCAATAAGGTGATGCCACGTAACAAAGTATAAATTAAAATGTATACCATAATATACATGTAGCAATGTTCGCCATTAATCTTCATGTTCTTTTTCTCACATTCAATAATTTACATAACTAAAATGTGATAATGGAAATAATAGCATATAATAAAAGGTCTGAGCACGAAGCATCAATGGCAATTTACAGAAGAAGAGGGCCCCTTGTCCTTGTTTTGAGTAATGACATAGGACATTCGCAACCTCTTCGAAATCAATTTTACTACATGCTGATACATTGGTGATGGGTTGTAAGAAAAGGCATGGGTTGCATTCTAGTATTGAATGCTAATCTAGACTTAGCCTAACATTTTGCTGCTAATGTGTTTCCTGCATTGATCAAACCTTCTTGGTGATCCTTCTATTACTTTCATTTTATGTTCATTTCTGTAATTGATTTTTGTAGAGTATTTGCAATAATCTAATCCTTGTACTTCAACTGCTCTTGTGTAATTTGGTTCATTTTAATTCTTCTTCTGCTTAATCAAGCAAAGAAAATAACTGTTGACTACATGAAGGTTCAATTAACTTTTGTTGAGTGTTTTTATGAAAAGGATTTTACTTTTATGATTGACAATGGCATTTGTATGCACATTTTTCAACCGAAGATTTCACATTACTATGTTTTCAATTTACCGTGTTACTCCGTTTCAAGTTTATGCAATCTGTAGAAATTGTGTGTTGAAATAAATTGGAATACGGTTAAGGATGTCAAAGAGACAAGTCGATCCTAAAACTTTCAGCTCGAGCTTAGCTTGGTTAAAATGGTCGAACTTTTTTACGAGCCCGAGCCGAGCTTTTGCTCGGTCAAAAAATTTCGGCTCGATCCAAGCTTTCGGCTCGGGCTTTTCTAAGCCAAGTCAGGGGAGTAGTTTTTTTTACCCTTCTGGCTGTCTTTGCTCTTTTTATTTTTTTATTTTTATTATTATTTTTTCCCCCCTTAAAAGGCAGTAGCAATTCTACCTTTTTTTTTAATGCTCATGGGCCAGCTCGGGCTCAGCCCGTGTCCTCAAAATGGGGCTCGGTCCGAGCATCGACTCGGTTGCTCCGAGCCGGAACGGCTCCTGGGCTGCCCAAACCGCCCCTTTTTGACACCCCTAAATACGGTGTAGGTCTAAAAGTAAAATAGTTTGATAATATTTTTTGCAAGCAAGGTTGAACAACATGCTATTTTAAAATTCGAGGCTCACCTTCACTTTATCTTTACTCTCACTTGTTTTTATATGATCAGAAGGTCACTTATTTTTAGTAACTTCCCTTGTGTAACTAGTGTCAAATTTAAAAGCAAAACTTAGTTACATTATTTGTGCTAAGATTAAAGAAGTAAAATATTTTTTTATTGATATATGTATAACGTATTACAATACAGGATAAATGAAAGGCTAAAAATAGTATAAACGTGCATGTTAGTAACAAAATCAAACAAGTAAAACTTATACAGACCGCTTTCATCAATTTGTTGGAAAGAGATTGATTATGTAGCTTTTAGATGCTTTTGGTTATTGCTGATGGTAGTGGTACACGCCTTCGGTAATCTGCTAGAGCCCACAATGGGTATATATTCCTGTATGCTGCATAATGTAACATGCAATTCTTCATGAAAACTCCCGTGATTTCCTGCCAATGAATTGACAATGTGAAAGTTGCAATAAACTTGAAAAGTCACATTACAGGATATTATTATGTCATTTTCATGATGTTGCTTTATTATTTCATATGAAAAAAGATCAGGAAGACTACAAGACGCTTAGTATACCTGTTGGGGAAAATCTCCATTTTCCAACTGAGAATTGATCAAAAGCTTTGCTCCCCTATGGAGAGGTGTAGGATCTCTATTCCCCTATTGAAATGAAAGAAATAGATAATCAGATTTTCATAGAGGAAAATTATGTAAAAGATTGATATGGCTTGAGAGGCTAACCTGGCCAGAATGAATTAGACCCATCATAGCCCATGCAGTATGGACCAAGTTTGATCTATTTCCTTCCAGAGGTACATATTCCTGTTTAATGATACATAATTGTAAGGGACCCTTTTTGTAATTCTATCATCTTTTTTCGGATTCTAAACTCAAGAAATTATATTTGCCACTGTATTATTAGTGGTGCTAAGATCAGTCACTATATTTTCTGGTTTACCTTATTTGGGCAGGAAAGATAGCTTTCTCCCCATCCACCATCATCCCTCTGTGCATTTAGCAGAAACTTGACAGCTTTGCGAATGGCTAGACAATTGTTGTAGCTCTTCCCGGCTGCTGCTAGTCCTCCAAGGGCAAACCAAGTGCCATATGTGAAACACACGCCCCAATTTCCGTACCTGCAGACATTTATATACATGCTTTATAGACTTGCAAAAATTGTCCAACGTTTGTACATAAAAGGTCAAAAATGGGAAGAAAAGTATACCATGATCCATCAGGCTTTTGAACATCTTCAAGGTATTTCACAGCCTTCACAATAGAGCTTTCTATTTCTTTCTTCCGATGTTCCGGGTACAATTTCTTAAACAAAACTAGAGCTTGTATTGCTGACGAAGTGCACTCGACATACCTGCATCAAAATCATGTTAGTCTAACTCGAGACTAAATTGTATCCGTAACATGGGAAAAAAACAAATGAGACGAATCTTACTCGTGCTCAATAACAATGTCGGCAAAAAATTCTGTAGGATTGAGCATCTATGGCAGAATAAAAAACAATCAGCAACTTTAAATTCTCAATATATATGCACACGTACATATTTAAGTCTTTTTTTTGGTGGTGAATTCAAGAATGTTGGGAAAAGAACCTACCTCCAACCACTCCGAGGCTCCTGCAGGCTCCCATGCAGCTAACCCACCATTTTTGCTCTGCAAGCATTTATGCAGTTGGCCGTCAATTGTAATAGATGTTATGGTCATGTCTATATGGTGATATATTGAACAAAATATTTTGTTCAAGCGCGTTGTTGTACCATGAATTGTGAGTTTGAACCTACTACTTAGGTATTGAAGTGTCAAATAAATTATAGAGTACATGCGTTTTGACATGCCCAATATATATACTAAAGAAAACTCAAGAAGTTACTTTATAAATGGTTGGAAGATAATGCTTGATTCATACCTGTAAGGAAAGCAATATATTGACAGCATCGCAGAGTCGTTCAGTTTCCATCTTGGGACCAACAATTTCAGTTGGCATCATTGAAAAGAGAAGGCAACACTGAATAATAAGAAAAGAACAAGAAAAACAGTTTGTAAGAACCCATCTTAATGTGTTTTTTTTTTTTTTCATTTCTTACCTCATTTCCAATTTAAATGATCTTTCTCAACAAAATTAGATACCTTCAATGCTTCTGCAGTACAATCTGATACTTGCCACCCATGATCTTGATCCGAAAAAGTCCATGAGCCTTTAGAAATATGGCGGTGCATGGCTTTAAAGTCACCAGAAGGGTTATCTTTGACCTGAGACTTCTTTACGAAGTCGTGCCCTTTCGCAAGAGTCTGGCCTATTTCTTCAGTAAGATCACTAGCTAGCAGTGCTTGTATAGCAAAACCAGTATCCCACTCTTGACTTCCAAAACTCTGCATTAAAATGGCCATTGGAAAGTTTAGGAATTGGAGTCAATAATGAATTCTAAATTGATAGCTATACTATGAATTACATAGTTTTTGCAGAGTAGAATGCAAAATATGCTTGGTTGTAGAAGGAAATGTATATTGTCTTACTTGCATCTTCATTCCATCTTCGGCTATCCATAGATAATCAGGGATTCTCGCAAGATGCTTCTTGAAATAATCTCCGTTGGGATCCTCGACCCAACAGGCCAGCATACATAACACCTTCTCTACACATCCTATTGTGATGTATCTGCTATTTTCATCTTCATAGTGGATGTGCTTCATTGTGGTTTGAAGAGCCCTTTCTCTTAACTTGTTGAAAGGCCAACGGGTTAGAAGAGGTTCTGTAAGTATGTAGAGACTATCCCACATGAAATCTTGTATAAGTGGATGAGGATAATAGAGGTCCTCCTGCATTTACACGTTTTCTTCAGTTATTTTAGCATCGAGTAACAAATGAATAAAAAAATTGAGTTATTGTACATTAAACCGTCTTCCAACTCTGGCATTTTTTTACCTTGGCACAGACATGGCGAACTTTCCTCCAATTAATTTCATCGTAGGGTTGATCATACAACTCTTCTCTCAGTTGTTGAATGAGAGGAGTAATTGGGCCGACAAATCTTTTGCCATATAAATATGACATGGGCATGTACACCATTCTACAGTAGCACCACATTTTTGCTGCATTTAAAGTAGAAAGTATTGATGCGAGATAAACATTGATCCAAAATTTCTTAGGTTAGCCTGTATCTTGGAATTTGTTTCAAACCGTGCAATATTTCTGTTGTAATTCGTAACTTTGTTTCTCAAATCTTTTCAGATTATCCAGCATGCATGTAGAGATCGTGTTTGTTTGTCATTTTTTTTTTCTTTTTTTTTTTTTGTCTTTTTGTTTGTTTGTAATGTTCAAGTTGAGAACAGTATGGCATGGAATACACTTTTCCATTCGCTCTCATGTGTTGTGTGACAAACAGTTCTTGACTGAATGGAAAAAGAAAAAGCTCCATGAGTTCTAATTATTCACTTATTAACAATCAGGTTTAAAAAGATCAATTTTCATGGAAAGTTTAGGTTATGACAATAAACAGTTGTTTTATTAATTGCATGTCTCTGTCTTGGTGTGCAGAAGACAGTCAAACAAATAGAGAACGTGGCAAACCTGGATGCATGGGGAGAAAAGATGGAAGGATCCAAAATTCAGGGGGCATCGGGTTGGTTCCCGACCACTCAAATACGCCAAGTATCTAAAAATGTATTGGAAAACAATACATGTATTAGGTTCCACAAAATATCATTACACATCAAATTCAAATTTACAATATTCTTAATCATACCGAAAGCCATGTTTTTCCCCATGAAGGTATTGCTGTAACAGTGCCATGGTCAAGTATCCATTTTCTTGCTCTAGCACATGCATTGTTTTTACCGCCTTCGGGTCCCTCTCCAAGTATACGCATACAGATGTAACTCAGAGTAGTGCAGAACATTGTGCTATGGCCTTCAATGTGTAAACCCCACCCACCATCTTCGTTCTGTACCATGAGAATGCCGTTAGTCAATGACGTGAGTAAGCGTGCACGTGTCTGATATGTGTAATTGAGTTCACAAGAAATCACACCTGGTGACAGTATATGTAGCGGAGAATTTCTTTACGGTGTTCAGCTGGAAACACAGTGTTAAGTTGGCCAGTAATGTACAGACACATGACCTGTGCATTTCGGTTAAATCCAGGACAAAAGCTTTAGCATTTAACGTGAGAAATAACTTAAATCTTTTTGACGAGATGGTTCAAAATAATGCTAAATTGACTTACCAAAGGTGGAAGAAAGAACAATGGACCAGCATTTTCTGCAGGCCAATGGCCATCACTGGCTTGCAGGGCTGAAAAGAAGTGGACAGCCCTTTTCAGTGTGGTTGAGGCAGTTTCATAGGTTATATCTTCTCCATCTTCTACCGTCACTTGGGGTATTGTCTGTTTGAAATTGTTTTCACGTAGAAACTGCATGCAAATTTGATTATCAAAATTAATTAATGTAAAGACTTTAAGCGTTATGTGATGCGACAAGGTTGTTAGGTAGAATTCACATTCGAAGACTAATTTTCAATGTTCACACGGGTTTTAATAATAATCTATTCGCATTTACAATTCATTTGTGAACTGGGGATGTCGGGCTGTTAAGAAAGTCATATCCACTTTACATCATCATGCATTGTAGATATCAAGCAGAAACTAAACATATTCGACCTTTTGCCTATTTCGAGTCAATATCATTGATCAAAATAGTCGTCTTGTACGTACCTGCATCCGCCAGACGAGATCACTGCTGGGCTTAACTTGGTAACGATTGTTCCAGAATTCTTCACGAGCTTTTTCGACCTCTGCTCGGTCCTCAGCCGTACCATAGTCAGGGTCAAATTCCCATGTCTGTCGGCCTACATAATCGTTGGTGCTAGACAAATAGGGGTCGTTACCTCCTGCTGCAATCTTCAGCCTCCACATTTTAGTTTCTGTTAAGTTATTAAGTATAGTAGTATGTAGTTTTTCCGGAAAACTGAAGTTAATCTGATGTACTAATTCTGCCTTTCTTTAACCTGTTTTCAACGAAATTCTTAGTTAATTAGCTAATCAAGAAATCAGAGGAAGAAGTAAATTGTGAAACCAATAATCAAAACTGCACTGTACTTAATAGTATTAAAGAAGCGATTAGTTGCTAATCAGAGATGAACTATACCTCTTCGGTTCCAAGCAGCTGCCAACTGGGAGAGATTACAAGAAGTGCAATATGAGGTGCCTTTTTGGGGATTGGAAGAAAACCAAAATTTGAAGATCTGAAATGAAGAAAATGGGTTTTCTACGTAGTGTGATATGTATTTGGGTTGGTTTGTGGGAGAAAGATTATATATAGATGATTTTAGAACTGTTAGATACTATATAATAATTGCTAAAAAAGAAAAAGAAAAAGAAAAATGTAAATATGCCTATTCTTGAACTCTTCCGCGTGAGAAGTCAGCGAAGTCAAAAAAAGACGTACCTTTGAAAATAATGTTTTTTTTTTCCCTCAGTTCACACCCCATGATTTAACGTGTAATGTTATGAATTTGGAGTTCTAGTTTTGACGTCATTCATAGATAAAGTTCTTAAAGTCGCATAGAAAAAAATTGAATTTATACATAAGTAATTTAAGATCGTACTAAGATAGAGATTTTAAGTTTTGAGTTTCATCAAAATTGTATACATACTAATGAAAAAAGAATTTGATTTATATGTAACTTGTTTAAATAATTGTACACGTATTATAATTTACCTCTAAGCAATTTTTCAAGCTTATTCTAAATTAGTAGGTTTTAATTTGGGGTATTGTCTGTTTGAAATTGTTTTCACGTAGAAACTGCATGCAAATTTGATTATCAAAATTAATTAATGTAAAGACTTTGAGCGTTATGTGATGCGACAAGGTTGTTAGGTAGAATTCACATTCGAAGACTAATTTTCAATGTGCACACGGGTTTTAATAATAATAATCTATTCGCATTTACAATTCATTTGTGAACTGGGGATGTCGGGCTGTTAAGAAAGTCATATCCACTTTACATCATCATGCATTGTAGATATCAAGCAGAAACTAAACATATTCGACCTTTTGCCTATTTCGAGTCAATATCATTGATCAAAATAGTCGTCTTGTACGTACCTGCATCCGCCAGACGAGATCACTGCTGGGCTTAACTTGGTAACGATTGTTCCAGAATTCTTCACGAGCTTTTTCGACCTCTGCTCGGTCCTCAGCCGTACCATAGTCAGGGTCAAATTCCCATGTCTGTCGGCCTACATAATCGTTGGTGCTAGACAAATAGGGGTCGTTACCTCCTGCTGCAATCTTCAGCCTCCACATTTTAGTTTCTGTTAAGTTATTAAGTATAGTAGTATGTAGTTTTTCCGGAAAACTGAAGTTAATCTGATGTACTAATTCTGCCTTTCTTTAACCTGTTTTCAACGAAATTCTTAGTTAATTAGCTAATCAAGAAATCAGAGGAAGAAGTAAATTGTGAAACCAATAATCAAAACTGCACTGTACTTAATAGTATTAAAGAAGCGATTAGTTGCTAATCAGAGATGAACTATACCTCTTCGGTTCCAAGCAGCTGCCAACTGGGAGAGATTACAAGAAGTGCAATATGAGGTGCCTTTTTGGGGATTGGAAGAAAACCAAAATTTGAAGATCTGAAATGAAGAAAATGGGTTTTCTACGTAGTGTGATATGTATTTGGGTTGGTTTGTGGGAGAAAGATTATATATAGATGATTTTAGAGCTGTTAGATACTATATAATAATTGCTAAAAAAGAAAAAGAAAAAGAAAAATGTAAATATGCCTATTCTTGAACTCTTCCGCGTGAGATGTCAGCCAAGTCAAAAAAAGACGTACCTTTGAAAATAATGTTTTTTTTTTTTTCCCTCAGTTCACACCCCATGATTTAACGTGTAATGTTATGAATTTGGAGTTCTAGTTTTGACGTCATTCATAGATAAAGTTCTTAAAGACGCAATAGAAAAAAATTGAATTTATACGTAAGTAATTTAAGATCGTACTAAGATAGAGATTTTAAGTTTTGAGTTTCATCAAAATTGTATACATACTAACGAAAAATGAATTTGATTTATATGTAAGTTGTTTAAATAATTGTGCACGTATTATAATTTACCTCTAAGCAATTTTTCAAGCTTATTCTAAATTAGTGGGTTTTAAGATAAATAACTTTATTGTTGGTGAAAATTGAAAATAAATTACTAAAACTATCTGAAAATAAATAAATTAAGTAGCTTATTTTCAGATTCCAAGAGTGATATATCTTTTCTTATAAGTAAATAAAAATTAGAAGGACAAGTTTATACTGAAGTAATCTTGATCTAATTTTGAATATGTGTTCTTCACAGCAAGAAAAGGCCAAGATCAAGAATCCAATTTAATTGAATTAGTGTTCAAATCCTTGTCGGTTACCCAGGAAAATTGAAATTGTCATCTATATGAATGAGATTCCTAAATCAAACATTATTAACAGCATAAATACATTGGTTTGGATCAAACCTTTCAAGTTTAGGATTCAACAAAAAGTTGGCATATTTCATTGAGGGGGAAAAAACAATGTTTTAAAAGTTGATCGAATATTTACTCGAGAGAAAAAAAAAAGGTAAAGAATTGAGTAACAGTGAAAGGGTTAAATTGTGGCAAATCGATGACAAACGAAGAAAATAAGTAAATAAAAAAGTTTTCTTTTTTAAAAAAAATGATCTTATAAAATCACCATGTCGATTTCCTGTTAATGATTTTGGAATCTGACCAGATTTTAGATCGATTTCTATCATATTTCAGTCAAACTAATCAATTATACAAAGTTGAAAATGGGGAAGCTTTGTTTGTACTTTCCGAACAAATTGAGACTTGCAAAAACATCACTATTTTGACCTAAAAAGTCATACTTTATAATTAAGAAATTAAAAATATGTCGATCATGGTCTGAATGTGCTACACATCCACTAATGGTAAAGCACAGTCTACAATTAAGAAATATTTATGTGACAATAAAGTTTTTCTCATGGTATTATTATTTGCTCTAATCATAGATATTGCAATAATTATATGATAGAGAATAAAACATCGTTGAAAAATCGACTTCTCCTAATCCTAACTTCTACTTGAATAGTTGAAAATTCAAGTAATTGATTTGTGAAATTTAAACCAAAATTAAATTTTACTAAAGGAACAAGCAAGCGTTTAATATTATAATCTCAATACACTTCGATGAGTTAACATGTTAGGACTCGCAATTTCACCATAATTTATGCAGTTTAACTTTATCCATCGAGTTATGATGTTATTTTCATCGTATTGTCAATCAAATTTATATAAATTATTCGATAATATCCCTCAAGTAAAATCAAACATTGCAGTTTACTATATATCTTTTTGTAAATTAGTCACAATTAATCCTCTAGAATATTTGATATATGTAGCTAACAGTTTATAGTACCTATATTAAACGGTAGCAAAATATGATACTTATTAACAATACATCACACTTTTTAAATTTATTAATAATTCATTACTCGTGAGAAAACCTGAATTATGTACTTCGTGCTTAGTTTTCTTGAAATATGTATTTCATACTTTTTTTTTCCTCCATTCACGTGATTATGGATGTCAGAATACAATCATAATCTAGTAATTACTTTAAAAATACATTAAATATATTTGCATTGTTATATGAAACATGTGATAATAATGGAAACACACTATTCAAAAAATAAAGGGTAAGAAGAAGAATAAAAATCTTAAGAGAAATCTCCAGCTAATTATAATAATTAAAAAATTGTGATTTTTATTTTTTTTATTATTATTATTTTTTTGGGTCCTGTATAATGAAGTTAGGTGGGATTGATATCTACATCGTGCTTAGAGATTATAATATGTTGAAAACTTAAGTCAAATTTTGAAAAGTAACAAATTTTAAAATATAAATAGTGCTGAAAAAAATATGTGGTGGACATTAATAATGTTTACAAAATTCCATTTTCGGCTAAAATAGAACAAAGAGTTTACTTTGTGTAGACTTACTAGTAAGGCGTATCATTTGTACAAATCTTTCCATTTTTCAAGTCGATACTATCTATTCATTCGTAGAATTATTTAATCGATCATCGGATATTTTTTGAACACCTCTAACAGATGGATAAATAATCAATTTTGAAAGAATTTTTGGATCCAATGGAATTCATAGGTATAGGAAAAAAACCCTCTCAAATAGAGATTTTTTTTCTTTCGACCATTTTTTTAATTGATGAAAGCTAAAAATTTAGCCCTTGTTTGAGATCCATCAAAATGTATTCTTGAACAGTGGTTTGACCTAATTTCAACCACACGTTCTTCAATAAAATAGCATTACACTCAAATTCAAAAAAATTTCGTATTTTTTAACAACACATTCTCCATCGTAATACTATTACAAAATGCATTTTTTGAAAATAAAAGGGGCCCAAACAACCCCTTGATAAATAAATTATTTATTTTGACATTAAAGTAATGGCTACTTTTTAGAAATAACTTTTCTTTTAATTTAAAATTAAGAAAAACTCTAATTCTTTTAAGTAGTTAAAATTAACTTTTTGTGGCTTAGTCAAATATTCTCCAAGTTCTTAATGGACCACTAACTCAAATCTCTATCATGGAAATGTGATAGCATTTTCATTTTAAGATAATATATAATGTAAACCGGTTGTAATTAGGCTTAATTGAACTAAATAATGTCTATTTTTTAAAGGTTCATCGTCAATTAACTTTATAATTAAATAGTTTAAATTCTCTAAATTGAATAAAATTAAATAAAAAAAGAACTGTCACGATCAATTATGTACAAAAGTCATTTTGCACCCCCATTTGTTTGTTTCTTCACGTCTCTTAATAGGAATTAAAATTTACTTGTTGACTTCCACAATAGTCGATTTATATTCAGATTTAGATTCCGTATGTTTCCAAAGTTAGGCATCGTTGAAAACAAAATTCAATTTTTTTAATTGAGATTTTAGTTTTCTTTTAAGACGTAATAATGTTAAACGCAATTTCTTTCATCATGAATTCACGGTCGATTAAAACAATATTTGTTTGCTAATACATCCGTATTTTATCATGTGTTTGACATTTTTTCATTAAGGGTGGTGTATTTAATTGGAACTTTTAAAAATTGCGATGAACTTTTTTCAAGTGATGGTGTAATAATGTGAATTTCTTACACACGAGATAATGGTTCCAAATTTTCCCTTCCCCTCTCATATAATAAAAAAGTTATTTTTTTTTAAAAAAATAAGAATTTAAGACCTTAATTAAATAAATAATAATCAAAATTGTACATACATATAAGATAAAAATATTTAATATTATTATTAATATAATATACCTTTAAAATTAAATAAAAAATCACTATTTTTAAATTTAATCATAAATTTGACGTATAAAATTTCATATTTTAATAAAAAATATATATTTTTCAAAAAAAAGAAAAAAGAAAAAAATAATAATAAAAATTCAATTTAATTTTTTTATAGAAAATAGAGATAAATAATATGAGAGAGAGAGAGAAATAAAAACAAATATAATCAATAAAAAAAATTTTTAATCATAACTCTAATGTTCGTAGAAGAAAAATGCAAGAAAAATATTTAAAAAATACATATTATTTATTTACCTTTTTTTTTTTGGCAAATCTCTAAAAAATACAATTTTTTTTTTTTCCTTTTTTTTTTTTTTTGGCAAATCTCCCAAAATCTTGTGATTAATGAGAGACAAATTTTGAAATTTTATACGAGTATTTTTTGCTTAAAAGTTAGTAGTATAGAGACTTTTATAAAAACCTCTAGAAGTTATTAAAAATTGAATATTTCGAGATTTATAGAGACTTTTAAAAAGTTTTAATATAATACATCATAACTTTTAGAAACTAATTAAAAATCTATAAAAGTCTCAATTGAATACACCAATACTTTTAAATAGTGTCGAAAAGCCTATATTTAATATGTCTAAATTTTTTAAATTTCAAAAAATCATTAAAAGTCTCAATTGAATACACTTCCCTAAAAAAAAAAAATGAAAAAATTACACACAACCATACTTTAATTATTCTAAATTCCTAAATTAGATTAGAAGTTTGATATTTCAAAAATCAAATTTTTTTTATATTAATTATTTGATAATCGTCTAATAACTGGTTCCTTATTTCACGTGTTTTAAAATTTGGAAACTGTATATTTTGGAAAACCTCCATCCACATTCTTTTCCATAAACTCTCCCACGTCCATTCACCTTTTCATATTTTACGACTATCACCGTCGAATCTTCAAGCCCTTACCTGCCATTCACCGCTGTCCGTTTCTCGATGAAGTCGTGATGGCTGTTGTCCATGATCGAAATACTTTCAGTAAATACAGTTCGAACAACATCTCGTACTCCACGTCGAACCGCATACTACAAAAAATTCAATGAATGACTCGTTCAAGGAGTGGTAAGCGATTGGAAAATCTTGGAAGCCATGATTCAAACACGAGGTAAACGGAATGGTGATGAAGTGAAAAAAGATACCTCTTATAAAGAACACAAATCCACACGACTGGTCACAACTCCGCCCATGAAGAAAGTGTGTTTTTAGTCTTTCAATTTTTCACTTATTTCGAGTATACCTCTAAACATTTTAATGGATGAGTAACGTGTCTGGATGGAGTATTTTGAATTTGTGATATATTGCATAGAATTTGAAGTGTGTAAATGTAATCGAAATGCTGGAATCTGGAAAGGGTTTTTACCGTTGTTTTGAAATTTAGTTGTTCGGTTGTGATTTATGTATATGATTGTGTCGTTTCATAAGTTTGTTGTTGAGTTCTTATCTGTAGGAGAGGAGTTGTGACCTATACGTTGCTATTGTTTTTACATGTAATCACATCTTTGATCAACTATTGCATTTTCTACGACCAATTTGTAGGCTTGGAGATATAATATACCGGAGAAAAGATGGTGTTTGGTTAAAATTACAATTACCCCCTTGGGTAAAATTACAATTACCCCCATGAAGAGTGTGTTGACAAATTTCAAAAACAATCTAAATGAAGCCCAACATCAAATACTGCAAAATACATGTTTTTCCCACTTCCTAGAATGTGAGGAAATCTTTGTCCAATCCCAGCTAATACACAAATTTTTGTTGAGGTAAGGGCAACAACCTAATGAGAGTGAGATATGGTTTAACATAGTCGGAATATTTATAAGGTTCTAGATTTCGGAGTTTTGTTTAGTGATTGGGTTGAGATGTGTTGGCGACACCAAGGTAAGTAGGATGGAAAAGACACCTTCATGTTTGAAAAATGCATATTTCCCGACGTCGAAAAATGTGACTTGTGAAGACATCAAGGAAGCATTTCTTGGTGCGACTGACATTTCGAATGATGATGTTTCTATGCTAAGTGCATTGTATTTCTTAACGTCGTATCTATACTTGAGAGATTCCAAGAAGGTTGTGGATCACTTCTTATTCATAGTAGTTGAAGATTTTAATACGATGAATTTGTTCCCGTGGGGTAAGTCGCTATTCGACAGGCTAGTATGTTCATTGAGGGAGGGTTGAGTAAGAGAACAACCCATTATATACTCATAGGCTTGCTGGTAACATTTCAAGTTTGGATTTACGAGACAATTCCCGTCTCGATGGACACATAGGTAGAAAGTTATCAAAAGTGTATCCCCGAATAAGGAATTGGATGGCTGATGGTCACCCATCGGTACTAAGCTCGAGGGGCCTGATTTCTTCTCCAATCCATATGTAAGTGAATCAGTACTTGCACATCTTTATATGTCGCACATCATATTAAATAGGTCACAAATTAATTTCATCAAGTCACAGATCCTATTCGGTCTGTCACAGATACACATATATGTCACAAATCATATTCTGTTTACTGTATATCATACTGAGCATCTTACATTTCAACTTCTGTATTTATTTCTAGTATGTAATTCTTGGTATGTATTTCTTTATACTTCACTTGTGTAGTAGTAAGAACAGTATTCATATGGATCCATCTTCATACTTGCAAACATAGTCAAAGCCTGTGGACAAGGCAGTTGATCAACTTGAAGCATTCTATATTTGCATGTCCGATTTTCTATATGAACAATAAAAGATGAACTTTCATCGCTAATTAAGAACATTGCCTGATTAACGAGAGAAACCTGCAATTACTGATGCAAGTTATATACAAAATAAGTCATGTAAACAAATTTCAGGATACAAATGAAAGTGCTATAACACATGCATATATTACATTGCACAAATATTGAACAGGTACCACAATACAGGTCACAGATCTTGAAATTTGTCACAACATATTTAAGATGGGAAAATCCAGAATTATTAGACTACAGTTTAGGTCACAAATAAGATGTCAAAAGTCATAGATTACAGATAAGGTCATAGCATTTCACTTTACCCTCAAGTTTATCATATCAGTACTCATTTCCCTAATCTGCTTCTCATACTTGCTTGACAAGGTCATAAAAGTGCCTTGCGCGTTCTCCCTATGTCTGCAGAACCAAGACTGTATAATTTGTCGCAATAACTCCAACAAAGCTAAAATAGGTAGGTCTTGGTAGACTTTATGACCTCATTAACTGACTTCACGATGTTCGATGTCATAATGGAATATCGATTCGAAGGTATGTGAAAACGTGACCATCTCTCAGGTCCAACATCGTCCTACAAACAAAAACATGAAGACATATATCATATAGTGAATAAATGTATTTAAATGAATATAGATTGTCGATAATCTGTAGTACATTACCAAGTAACCCATTATCTTCCCATTAATTGAGTCAAGTTGTTGCATGTTATATTCGTATTCCGACAATGTGTAAGCACGAACAGTTACATTTAATGCTTGTGTTATATTTTGACCTGATCTTTCGTAACATGATTTCAGATTTTGTAGGAGATAGTACGAACATATCCCGTGATAAGTTCCTGAATACATGTTTTCAATTGCCTTTTTGATGCTGTTATGACTAGGGATGTCAACGAGCCAGCTTGCGAGTCGAAATTGGAGGCTTGAGCTCATCTCGAGTAAAATGATCGAGCTTTTTTGGGCCCAAGCGAGGGTCGAGTAAAAGCTCGACCAAAAAAATTAGGCTCAACCTGAGCTTTCGACTTGGGCCTTTTCGGGCCGGGCCGAGCCGATTTTGGTGTGTTTTTTTTCTTTGTTTTATTATAAACATGGCAGCAGTAGCAACGTGTTGCCTATTTTAGGCAGCGTGTTGCTGCTTTGAAAGCATTTCTTTTATATATATTTTTTTTAAATATAGGCTTGTAAACTCAAGCCACACGAGCCGGCTCGAGCTTTACCCGACACCCTAAAATGGGGTTCAACTCGAGCTTTTTCCTAACCGACGAGCCTAATTGTCATATCTAGTTATGACGATCCGATACAAAGCACAAACTTTTTCTATCTCCATAGGCTTTCATCAACTGTCCAAAAAGTCATGACCAAGAATTGTCATTCTCGTTATCCTCAATTCCAAAAGCAAGCATCTTGAGTATATGCCGTGAATAAGGTTCCACCATTGTATCCATTTAGATATGTTCCATCAACCACAACAATTGGCATATAATGTTTTCATTCCCGTATAGATGCAGTTAGTGCCATGAAACAATATTTAAACCTAATGTGACCATCAATTTCCAAGCTTGTAATCGTTCCAAGATTTGTTCGATGTAGCATGGAAAAGAATCCCGGTATCTTATTGAATGAATCAGTTGGATCACCTCTTAGCACTTTCAAAATTCCCTCTCGAGGTCCCCAAGCCTTGACGAAGTTCAACGATAATTCATATGTATACAGCATGTCGTTGTATATATCATTTGGCCTGTATATAGTGCGTGACGATATGTGCTTGTATTTAATGCAGGTCGACACAACTGTCTTTGTTACTTGTCTATAATTACTAAGTACGATATTCGCAGCACACGTATGGCCTTTTCCAATATGTCTGATTTACATATCTGTTTTGGCTAACTTTGTGCTCTGAATATTCAACTACACTCTCACGTGAACATTTGACGAGATAGTCTTTCTTATCTGACCGATCGACCACATATTCAAATAAATGTTAGATTGCATAAAACGACAAGCTCAATTTTATAATCTCCTTGTTACAAAAAAACTCTTCCTTCTTCTAATTCACTAGTATCTGCGACTATCACAATTGTGACCTCATGTTTAAACCTGTCACTTGACGGCTCCACTATTACTCCACATATATTTGATGACATATCTGTTAATGAAAAACCATGTTCATTAGATAGTACAACAACTGATACCGCAATAGGCTAGTTTTAGCTAGTTGCTCAATGTGTATTGGATATTTGGAAGGGTTACGATCCATATCTTTCGAAATCATGTATGACAACACATTATTGTCACTCTTGATTGTTATCGGAGATAGATCACCATTCAAGATATAGTTCATCGTCATAGCCACTTTTGTAGGGTCCAAACTAAATTCTACCATAGCTGTATCAACAAGCTTTATGTAATTGCAATTGCTATCAATCAACACTAACGACATTTGTGAGCCATTCAACAAACAAACGTAAATGAACCCCATTTTCTGCAAAATGAACCAAAACATAATCAATCACAATTCCAATTACAGTCACAACGAACACATGTCAAAGCTCGTATATCATAGTCACATATTGATTACATGCAGATCACATGGTCGTACTAAATCACAAAACATGAGGAATTTATTCACACTAACAAAGTGTGGATCACATATGATTGGATTCAAGCAACACCATTAACATAACGTTTCATAGATTCAATTGAAAAATAGTCACACTATGGTAAATAGTCACAGCATAGGTGGCAAACATTTTTCACAGGTGTAATGCAACACTTGTATGTTAAAGTTGTCCAAGTCACAGATTTCAATTACATGTTCAAAGTTCTTAGGTAATGGTTACATCACACGACACTGTTCACAATAAAATTCACAGCCAGGTTTTCTACATTTCGCACACAAACACCCATGTGCCATGACTACATAATGTCACATTCACTAATTCTACAGTCACAGGTTATGTACAACGGTCACAATAACGTTACGAAGATCACTGAGTCCTGTTCACGAACACAATTCCCAGATAGGCAAGTTATGTTCCTCGATTATGACGTGATCCTTATTTGCATACAACCGTAATTTGATCGATCGACTCTTAACAAGTAGGAAGAAACGACAAATTAGATTTAATTAATCATAATTCCACACATGATTGTTTTGAATTCGCTTTGAAGTAACGTATCAGCAATTGCTCATCGGACTGCAATTACTACCAATCGTAATGCGATTGCATGAATGCAAAATGTGATCGTGACTGTGTGATTACCGTTAGGTGGGAGAGCTCCGACGACAATATGTAGCTAATTTTAGATCTCTGTGTTTTTTACTGTCATCTGGAGGGATGAATTGTAATTTATGGAGAGTTCGACTGTTTTTGGTAAGCCACGCTGATTTTGTGGGATGATGTTTTTTTTTTTTTCAAATAAATAAATGTGTGTGTGTGTGTGTATTTAAGGATGAAAATCTTATTTGTGAAATTTCAAACTTGTTTTCTCATTATTAAAATGAACTATACTTATACTCTTGTTTATGAAATTTTCTCAAAGAAAAAAGAACCGTCATTTTCATTATTTAGAGTGGTGGTTTTAAGTTTTAATTTCTAACGAATGAGCAAAGTTTTGGTGAGAATGCATGTGGACAGCTGCAAATGAAATTTATTGATTTTTGGAAGGTAATAATGAGGATTTTGCAACATAAGTGGTCTTATATATTGGGTAAGAATAATGCTATCTAACATCACAGTGTTATAGCACTAATTTTGGTGGTAACACTTGATATGTTCAATTGAATGAATCACGTGACATTTCATTTAATGAAAACATAATTTAATGTCATGCAGTTATTATATAGATTGACACTTAACATCAATGGTGTCGAATATCATTATTCAGTAGCTAATTATGCAAGTTGCGAAACTCACATAATATTTGTAAATTCTTTAAAATGTGTGGATACAAAAAAAAAAATAGCTTGAATGTTTATTAATTATTAATAAACATGAGCCAAACATAGCGAATAATGATGTAAAGTGTTGTTAGCATAACCAATTTGCCTAAAAAGTATAGCTCATCTCACCAATACAATCCATTTTATATTATCTAATTAAGCTTTGAATCCATCCAAACCCTTAGTCCATCGAATACACAACAGAAATTATTCAGCATGGAGTACCTCTAGCTCTTATACCAATTGATGTAGGACATTGACGCCACTTTCTCCAAAGGAAGATGCTACATAAATGGGGGCCTGTGATAGGGTTGAGGTGTGTGCTGGACACCTCAGCCTTGTCACAGGCCTTTTTTTGAGCAGCAAAATTCTTCTCCAAAAAGCTATAGCTCATGGCACTAACATAATCCATTTTATATCATTCACAAATTCTAAAATCTACTTCAAGCCCCATTGTACCTACCTTTATTTTAAGCACCCTTATATATCATCGACTCGCTCCACGAGAATGCTCCAACATCAATTTGAACATCATACATCCAGTTTTGGTACTAACTGATATAAGCAAACAACCATGCAAAAACATGCTTAAAATAAGTGGATTCGATGGGATTGAGTTGAATTTCGAGCTTAATTTTGGTTAATCGGATTATTCCCATGAGCTATAACTTTGGGTAAAGTACAACAATCCTATTTCAGATATACTCATGGTTAAGATATTTGGAGTCATAAGTAAATGTTGGTGACGTTACATATCAATTCATAAATGCATGACAAATTTAATTTAAACGTTGACATCCACTCAAATTTGTTCATCAATAAATTGATATGACATAGCACTAATATTTAAACACAAGTACACCGATATTCATTAGATATTTTTATATTTACAATATGTAAAAAAAATACACATACATAAATTTAGATAAATAAATACATTATTAGAATTAATCTATAATTCTTGTAAGACAGTAGTTGCACAAAATGCCATAATTTATGGCTGTCGTTAAATCTCCACCCTTCCTTCCTTATCACACACTAACATTTACTCACTCACTCTCTCTCTCTCTCTCTCTCTCTCTCTCTCTCTCTCTCTCTCTCTCTCTCTCTCTCTCTCTCTCTACACACACACACACACACACACACAAGCGCAAGTTGAATTGAGAGCCTAAATTCATCTTCTTCAATGGTGCACCTGATTTCACTTTAAAACCTTAAATTCTCCTAAAACGTACAACCAGTATCTACTCAAGGTACAACCTTTTTTGTTACCTTGTGCTGCTAGTTGCTTTCTTTCTTGGATATTTAATGCTGCATTAAGAAACCTCTTCTCTATCTTTATATTCCTCACCTCTCAATTGTCAGAAACTTGTGCCGTGTTATCCGCCAATTCTCATGTTCATTTATTCTACTTCCGATATTATTCAAATTTCTAGTGCTTGCCAAAATTCCGACAATAGCTCGATGAAATAATTTTTAGATTTAAAAAAAAACACAATTTATTGACTCGTGATTGAATATCACGTGACAATATTTGTTTTGTTTGTCCAAATGATTTAATAATTTTATGGATATGGCGTAATTACACTTGAGAATTATTTCAACATTCAGCTTAACTAGTCGAGCTCGAAGCTACAAATGGCACCCAAGAATGGTCGTGGCAAGACAAAAGGTGACAAGAAGAAGAAAGAAGAAAAGGGTATTTATTTATTTCTTTTTTATTAACAATCTACTTTGTAATTGAAGAAAAATTATTGCCTTTTTTTGGTCAAATTTGATAATATAATATAATATCTATGCTTACTTCACAGTGCTTTCAGTTGTCACTACTATATAAAAAAGGCAATATTTCACTATTGTAGAAAGAACAATAGATTCTTCCATTTTGTCTCGTTGTAGCTTTTTC